AGATCGAAAACAAAATAAAAGACACGTCACATATTTGTTATAATTCCTGTACAATACAATAACTTTTTCATAACGGAGAGATACTCCTGCAACAAATTAACAGTAAACAAACCAACCTAAAACTCATAGAAATAAATTGTATATTAAACCTGATGCACCAAAATATTCAAGGCATAAAAGGCAGAGTTAGAAATATAATAATTTATTAACTGTAATAATATTGATATTCTTTGTATTACTGAGCACCACTTTTTATCTAAACATTGGTTCATTATTAGCTTCAACAATCACCAGGTGTCTACTTCGTTCAGTAGAGAAAAAGCTGTTCATGGCGGCTCTTTATACATAGTAAAAATAATTTTAAATTTAAATATGTGTGCTTGATAAATGTATGTGAGCTTGAACGACTTGTCATTTGTTGTTGCGTGTACAGACCCCTATGTTCATCTTACGAATTGTTTGAAAAAAGACAAGACGAAGTTTTAGGCTAATTAAATAACCCAAAAAAAATATTGCTATTTGTGGTAATTTGAATGTTAATTTACAAGACTGTAGTCTAACTTGTAGTTGTCTCATAACATTTTTTCTATCATTGTTTCAGTGTGAAAATCTTGTGAATCTTTTTTTTGGCGCCAACTAAAATAACTTCTACTACAGCTACTTGTTTAGACAACATTTTTACGAACGCCGTACCTAATAATAAATCTATTATAAATAAATTAACGTCAGATCACTACGGTCAATTGGTCACTTTTAATATAACGGTAAAATGCCAAAAAAGGACATCACATGTGTTCCAATATATAAAAGTCGATAAAGGTTATAGAAACAATGTAATGGTTAAACTACCTGACATTTCGTACTGTGACGATCCCAATGAATTATATAATTCCGTTTTTAACGTAGTGAAAACTGAACGTGATAATGTTTTTAAGTCTAAATGCTTTAACCATTAATAATTTATTAAAATTTAGCGATTCGGCGACAGTTGGCATTCATAAAATGCTATGTGAACTTTACTATGAAAGGACACTATTACAGCACTAGTGACAGTTTTAAGGATTTTGTTGTATTCGAAAATGTTTAAGCGTGTTTGTGTTGCAGCTAAAGCAATGTTTATAAATAATAAAATTAAAACTTGGAATGTTACAGATAGTGAAACTGGAAGAGTCAAACCTCGTAACTTAGATTTTTTTAACTATGATTTGGTGACAAAATTGTAAACACGCAGAAGTTGCTAATATATTTAAAAATTTATTTACTGACATCCCAATTTCGACTACTAAGCAGTTAAATTCATCTCCCACTGCCGCTGAATCCCTACTAAAAGATAATATTGCAGTTAGTCTAACTAATTTAAAGTTCCCTGGATGTATTTCCAAACGATATTGTTAAAATTATTTCATTTCTTTTCTTTAAATCCATAGACATTAAAAATACTGCTAATCTTGATGGTCTTTCCGTCAAAGTAATTAATTCTGTAGTTGATTGTATTGCACCCTACTTAGCTTGTGTTTTTAACAAATGTATTGATGATGTTGTGTTTCCTGACCTCATGAAGAAAAGTTGTTCCAGTTTTTAAATCTGGTAGTAATTCAAACCCCACCAATTTCAGACATATTTCAACACTACCAACCTTCAGTAAAATATTTGAAAAAATCATTCTAAATCAGATGTGTGCACATTTTTACATTAATAATTTAATGTCTCCTATGCAACACAAAAAAAAGATGCTATTGGTGAATTGTGTAACCTTTCCAAGGCTTTTGATTGTGTGCACCATGATACTCTAGTCAGGAAACATCGCCATTACGGTGTATCGGGCCGTGACCTAGACCTTCTTACATCATATTTGAGTGGGAGAGTACAGAGGGTCGATGTCAACGGTACGAGATCATCAGGATCTGCAATTACCATGGGCGTCCCTCAAGGTTCAATTCTAGGTCCATTTTGATTTTAGTTTATATCAATTACTTATCTAACCTCGTGGAGGGTATAGGATATGAGATAGTATTTAGATTTTAAGACTTTCGTGGTTATTCACTAAATGATTATCACTAATATCAGGTTTCTTACCACGGTATGACTTCTTTTTATTTTCCCGATATTTCGGAACGGTTGCACGCTCCATGGTCACGGGTTGACTGGACGGCGGCAGATGACAGCTTTAAGCCTCTTGCGCTGTCGACGACTACCTTCATCGCGAGATGTGGCGTTACCATTGTCACTCACTTTTTTCACACAAACCACACTCACTGTATCCACACGCGAAACTGAACTCGAGGTGTTTTTGTTTTTATTACTGTACGCACTAAGGATCGGATTCCATGCACTGGACAGTTTAAAACCATCATCACGGTTAAATGTTTTGTATTTCGTGATCTCGATGGCTTCTCGTACCAACCGTGGTATGTAGTGACGTTCTGTCGAGAGTACCTGGGGGCTATGCAACTCGATCCAGTGGTTAGTGTCAGTCTGTGTGAGATGTTGTGCTATAGCAGACTTCTGTGCATCATTGTTTTTTACTGCTCGGATGTGTTCCTTCATACGATCGACAATGTTCGTTTAGTCTGACCGATATACGAGCTCCCACAACTGCAGTTCACTTTAGACACCCCGTGTTTGTAAAGGAAGGTGGTCCTTTGGTGAACGTAACATTTTTCCTATTTTGGTTCCTTAACCAAAATAAAATAATTATAAAAACTGCATAAAAACTGTTTTCACCCCCTTGGGTGAAAACAGTTTTTATGGAAAACTTCCTTAGCAACCTGGCTATTTCATCTGTCACCCCTTGTACATAGGACAGAAAAACTGGTAGTCTCTGTACGTCAATTTGCTTCTTCCTTTTAAGGAAGTCAACCCGTGACCATGGAGCGTGCAACCGTTCCGAAATATCGGGAAAATAAAAAGAAATCATACCGTGGTAAGAAACCTGATAGGTATTAGTGATAATCATTTGAGATGGCATTGTTTGAATTTCCTTATTATTTAAAGTTAAAAGTTAATGACAATGTGGACAATGCTATATCTAAAGTAGTAGATTAGTTTGCAATTAATAACCTGCTTCTTAATGAGAAAAACAAATTGTGTGAAATTTAGATTACCCAATGTTTGACAAACGGATACAAACATTATAGTTAAAAACGTAAAACAGAACCTTGTGGATACAGTTGTATTTCTACGTATAACATTAGATGCTAAATTGCAATGGGGTTCATATATAAATAAGTTATCAAAACGCTTCAGCTCTGCAGTGTTTTGCAGTGATTTAAAAAATACGAAAACTTTCAGACGTCGAAACCGTTAGATTAGTTTTCTTCATTTTCATAGTTTAATGACATACGGCATTTTGCTTTGGGGTAATGCCGCCGATATTAATAGAATCTTTGTCCTGCAGAAACGTGCGGTTAGAGCAATTTACCATCTGAGCCCCAGTGTCTTTGACAGATAAGTTTAAAGAGATTAACATTCTTACACTAATGTCACAGTACAATTATGAAATGTTATGTATGTTAAGAAAAATATTAATTTCTTTATGAAAAATAGACAGACATAACATTAATATGAGCAATAAAAATATACTAGCTGTTCTTGACAGTCATCTTCACAAAGTCTCAAATTAATTTAAGTGGCAATGTGGCGCTTCTATAATAAGATTCCAATTAATATTCAAAATTTGCCATTTACGAGGTTTAATGCCGTAGTGAAACAAAAACTTTATACGAAACTAAAGGTTATTTATTATTCAGCTGCAGGTAATCTCAATCTAAGATGTTTACATTAAAGATTGTCATGATAAATGTATTCAAATGTATAAGTTTGTACAAAAAGCAACCCCTAGAGTTTCTTGCTTCATACTTCTCTCTCAGGGGTATCTGCCTTACAAATCAGCAGTAGGGTTTAATGAGTATGACGATTTCATGTGTAATTTGCTTAACTATGAAATAAAGATTATTTGACTTTGCCTTGGACTATGGCTAGTGAATAAAAATTCTTAATTTTTGGTTGGGAAGAAGGTAATTAAAGATTATTGTTGCATTGTGCACTTTACATTTCAGGTTTATGTGTTGGAAGGTATAGCCAGACTCGTAACGCACGCGCTAACCACGCGAATTATAGCCGCCATGACTAAATAGCGATATGGGCAATAAAAACAGGTACGAAATTGAATAACGTCAAGCACAAAATTGATTTAAATTTTGCGTGGAATGTTTGTATTAAGTTTTCCTAGGATAGCAGTATGATCGATTGTACAACCCACAGCACAGGTTTATTATAAGTAATAGGTGTAATGTGTAACCTGAAATATTATTACGGTGAAATACTACTGAGTAGTTTATTATAATAACAGTTTCGTCATTGAGCTAGCGCCTTGAAACTAAACTTCAGTGTCTACTGTTGTGAATATTTTATAGAGACTGCATCACATACCGAACAGCTACCGACATCTAGTGGCGCCGTTGAATACGAGATCATGAATAAAGTCAACCTTTTGAAATCAACAAACTTATTTCATTGCTTCTTCATTGGTCACAAGTTTTGCCTGAGGTTCATCAAGCTGCCAATTTTGTACACAATGTTTACACAAAAAATAATGGTACTCAAAAAATTTACATTCATACAAAAGCTAAATAGCACAGTAAAATAAAACTACTACAAACCTTTTACCCTTTTGATAATCAATACTTCGTACATAATGCTCTTATCTATCTAAATCTTACAAAATTGATAAAATATATCAGCCCTTAAAATTGCAACTCAAATCACGGTCTAGGTCATCTTATTTAAACCTAATAAAACTCAGTTTTAATGTTTACAAAACAGCAGAAGGTGCTTTATATAGACTGACACCTTGTCTAGTGAGTTTAGCCATATTTATGTGTGTCAACAATACAATACATGAAGGCTAATTTCCGTTTTAACGGCACAACAGGAAAATGAAAGACTATTCTTTCTCCTACACCAAGTATCACATGTTCTTTAAATTTTCTTTTACTCACCTTGTTTCTAAGTCGTCCCCCTTGCCTCTTCACTGCACCTTCATTTGACTCTTCACTCTTCGATTTTTGCACCACTTTACTACATGACGCACTTTGTCTATCCTTACCGTTTGATTTAGATACTTTGTCTTTCACATTACTTAACCGAGCGTCATCTTCACTCTCACTTTTTTGTGATACTTTTGTCACCTTTGTTGACTTCTGTGGTGAACATTTAGATGGTAAAGACTTTGAAACAGTCTTCAATGGGATGTCATCATCACTAGATGAATCTGATGTACATTTACATGATTCGGAGCTAGAAGTCGTATCAGAAAGTTGCAATTTTTTCTTTCGAACTGTAGATTTGTCCTTACTCGTTTTTGTTACCTTTGAAGGACTATCGTCAGATTTCTTCTTCACGGTTGGTTTGGTGTTGGTTCTTTTGGGAGTACCTTTTCTCGGAACTGCAGCTATTTTGAGCTTAAGCCCTGTATCACAAGAAGTAACTGAAAACTGTGGCTTGCGAGCTGAGGTTTGTTTAGCTCCGGAACACTCCCAGTCACTTCCAGATGACTCACTGCTTGATGTATGCTGAAACCAATATACAAAATGTTTAATTATAAATCAATATACAATTTATTGTTTAGTCATTATTAATTATAAATTATTTAAAATCATACCTCAGTATCACTGTTAGAATCTGATTCCCCACTTGAATCTTGAGTTTTAGGCAAATCGCTGCTCATTTCTGGAAAAGTAACAACTATTATGGTCAACCATTAATGTTACCAAATCTGCACAAAAAGTGCAAGACTCTAACATTGAACTTGATCAGCCTTGAACTTCGTGAATAGGCAATAACAATACAATCAGTGTAATGCATAACTGATTGTTATCTCTTTTGCTTGATCAATGTAGGTAAGGAGTAGAAACTCTTAGAAGATAGAGTTGTGGCATCACAAAAGCCACACGCCACAAGAATATGCTCAATACACCACAAAATATTCTCTAGCAGAGCTGTTATTAGTTCTAATGACGCCTAAATTGATTCCAAATAGATGCACAAGTACTTACTTCAAGGTTGGTCAAGATGTTTCCATAAATATATGCGTAAATTCCTGCATTTCTGTTACGGATTCTTCATAAACATTGTAACAATCTGAAATTAAGGTAAAGACAGTTGACGTTATGATGCAGGGAGCGCTTTTTATCTCGATACTTGAAGAAATCTTCTATTTTTTACCGAGCAGTGGTTTGTTGGAATGACAGCTATGACGACACTCGTAAGACTAGTTTTGGTGCACCGTGTAACAATTACGATGTCGAGAAATTTAACCACTGAAACGTTGCAAAAATAGCCACGCAGCCTTAGAAATTATCCAGATTTCAGACTTTACAAGAAAAGTAATGAGGTTTAACGGTCTTTTAGGGCATTGGCGCCAAATAAGTGCATACGTTTACATCGTAACACAAAATCTAAATGATGAAAAATTACAATGATAACATTGGTACACTATAGCAACCAGATATTATGATAAAAAATACTAACCGCCTTTAAAAACTTCGCAATTTTACACAAAGATAAACTACATTAATTCACAATCAGCATAACACTCGGCCTCCATGTTTACAAATCATTCGAATAAAAATTATGGTGAAGAGAAAGCTAGAGAATTTTGTTGCTTATTCCTTTACTCCTATATCTACAAATGTATGTAAGAGTGAGATATCTTATTAATGATATCTTCTATAGAATAGAATATCTCTAGCGGCGCAAAATGGCGTCATACACATGAACCAATTATTTAACGCTATTGACTGTACTACTGTAACTATCACGAGTTCTATAAGACGTTTAATTAATAATTAGATCGAAAAACAATTTATTATAGTACAGGAACAAAATGAAAGCTCTATAAAAGTTCCTAATTTGAATAAAGTTACTGATGACAGTGTCATCTGCCGATAAATGTAAGTAGTAAATTTTATTCAATTAGTACTTCAAGAAGGCAATAGATGACACTGATATTTACAATTTAACAAAAACTTTGAATATTATTTTGTTCATTCTTCGCCCTATTTATATAATAGAGAATATTTTTTTGTATAATATAAAAAAATAAGAATAAAAGCAAAATAATTCAAAAAATAACTATAAAAACATTTATTTATATTATCATAATAAGGTAAGGTGAATGTATATAATAATTTTTAATTTCGTATCCGTAGGACAACTGCACAAACAACTAAAAGGGGCACTCATTACCAGTGTTGCCAGAGTAGGCGATTTTTCGCCATTTAGGCTATTCCAGGTGACTAAAAAAAGTGATCGGCGATTCGGCGATTTAGGCTATGTTTGAAATAGGAAAAGGCGATTTTAGGCTTCTTAATAAATTGTCTAGGGAATTACCAACTTGATTGGGGATTTTGTGGGGAATGTAGTAAAATAACTCATTTGGGGGTTTGAATACTTTTACGTGTGGGGAATTGGGTAAATAAGAGAGTTCATATTCTCCAATGAGATTGTTTTCCTTGATTTTTAGGGATTTTATGGCTTGGGCGAATATCAACTACTTAACACACATAAATTGGCGAATTAACTTCGCAAAAGTCTGGCAACAATGTTCATTATCTTGCATTGCAGTCCGCGTTGCCGTGTCGGCCGCGTAATGCAGCATTATGAAATTTAAAGGTGGTAGTCATTTTCCTACATTGTAGTTCGTAATGCAGAATAATGTCGGTTGTTGCAGCGTGCAAGCCATCCTGCAATTTGCAATGCGTTCTGCGAGACTCCATATGAAACAGGGCCATACCATACGCAGGATAGTGTGTGAGCAGTCTCTTGCCTGCGCGGCGGACTGCCATACAAGTAGTCAATGGGCCGTTTAAAGGACTATCCATACACATCAGGGCCGTACCCGGGACGTGGCCGGGGCGTGCTAGTTTGTATGAACTGAGGGGCCGTGCCGGCCCCGGACACGGACATGTGTGAACGAGTTCATACAAAATATACGCAACGATATTTTTTTGAGCCGCTGACGGAGCATGGCCCGTCCACGTCCCGGGTACGGCTCGGATATGTGTGGATAGACCATTAGAGATACTATTTAGACAACTACAATTTTTGAGTATGAATAGAAGTGATTTTTTCTTTTTTTGAAGTGATGGTTTGTTTGTTTAAGTTTATTATTTAGGACCAATTTTATATTATAGGGTCAAGAGCACATTAAGCTTGACACTTAAGACTTAAATCCAGCTCTATGCCGCTTACGATAAAAACAGTCCAAAATACAGTCATACCACAGGTCACATATTTCTTCCGTGTGTCATACACATGAGATACCTGACCCCCTATATGCCCAAACCGACCTTTTGGTTCTGAGAGCCATCTTACGTATTGAACAAAGAAAAATTAAAGCAATTTCAACTTTATTGTGTAAGCAATACAGTGGACTTGAAGATGATGAACATAATATTTTTAAAACCAATACTAAATTTCGTCATTTAACTTCCAAGTAAATCGAGCGGCTTGTTGTATCGACTGCCAGTTACAATACCTGTGGTAGGATTCTATGAGCACTGTTTTGTTTTAACGTTATATTTTTAACAGCATTGTTTCACTTTTCAATGTTAACGTTGACAAATCACAATATTTGTTCACTTGAAATTGCCTATGGTGGGTGGGTAGACATTATTAATAAAGCGTAGCGTGGTTATGGATAGATTAACAAATCACGAAATCGCTCTGTAGTTCTGTGATGACGCATTGTTCCACGTTTCGTTCCTATTTGTCTATTCGGTTTTAATTACTTTCAAGGTTTTAGTGACATTTAAAGTTTTCTTTCTTGTTTTAATATGCCGCACTTAACGGAATTATTAACATCTTTCGGTATAAATAGCTGTAAATCAGTCACTACACCAAAAATCAGATATTCTGAACAAGGGCAGTCAGTTAAAGAGATTGTAGACGAGAAGTCATATCCTTATAGACAGGCTGTTGATGCCCTTGCTTATCTCATGATTGAAACGCGACCAGATATTGCCTACGCCGTTAGTGTAGTATCGAGAACTTTGCAAAACACCTTCAAAGAGGATGTATTAAAGGTAAAGCGTATAATGCGTTATCTACAAGGTCATGCACATCAAGTTACGGTATCTAAGGGTATAACATACAAAAAGAATTTTGAGATGGGAATACTGGACTGCTAAAGCGATTCTAATCACGGAAGAGATCTCAAAGATGGTCGTTCAACAAGTGGCGTACTATGTCTATATGCTGGCGGAGCAATAGCTTGGGCTAGTCGAAAGCAGACGTTAGTAGCTATATCTACGACTGAGACTGAAATTGACGCAGCTAGCGAAACAGCATGCGAAATCGTGTGGCTGAAAAACCTATTTAATGAGATTTCTGTTGTAAAGCAAATTCCAATTTTGAAAGTTGACGCTGATGCCGCAGTAAAACTAGCTCAAAATCCGGAACTGCATAGAATAACCGAGCACATAGCAATAAGACATTTCTATGTCAGAGAACTTAGTAGACCTTCGATAAACCTCCATGCATGCAATGTGTAGAAAAAGGACAGTTGGCTATTTGATTATTTTGTTTGCTTTTGTAATTTATATTTTCGATTTTTTAATTTATATATAAATTAAATACTATACAACTGCACAAAATAACCTTTTAAATGATAACTATGATAACACAATATATTTGGTTAGTGGAAATTTATTTTTTTATTTATTCTTAGGAATGTTTACAGCATTCTTTAATATTAATTTATAAACTGAATGTAAACTTATAAGCCTATTAAAAACCTCCACATATGAAAATCTATATACAAAACATATGTTAACACTAATTGCTAATCCTACATACGCATATACACTTTAGTTTAATTTAGTTTAAGTCCAATAATAATATTAACGACATAAATATATACATATCCAACTATACTATTTAATACATACATATATTCAACATAATAAAATTTATATACCTACTTCTAATTTGAGCATACCGACCATATCTAAAATATTTACTAGTTATTGCCTTTTAAAATAATTCAAACCCACAGTTCTCTTTATAGATGTAGTGCTAGACGCAAATAAATCAAAGTCATTATCGGTGCTATACTTGTTAAAGGTTTTACAGCTACGTACCATGAATGTATTTTGCCTGTAATTTGTGCGGACATTTGGTAAGTGAAGCAGAGGGCGCTGCCGCAAAGCCAGTGCGTTAGCACGAAGACCAATCATGGACAGCAATTCCGGACAGTAAATTTTACCATTTGCCAGTTTAGATAAGAGACAGATGTCATTTATTTCCCGACGCATTAACAGTGGCAAGAAGTGGTATCGGTTACATCGATGCTCATAACTGAGCGACTTTTGTTTGGCCCTAAAGTCAAGAAAACGCAGAAATCGTTTTTGTATCGACTCTATCCTATCAATATAAATACCATATTGCGGATTCCACACTTGAGACGGGTACTCGAGATGACTTCGCACGAAGATGCAATATAGTACTTTAATTGCCTTCAAAGATTTTAAATAACTGGACATTCGCATCACGAACCCGAGGGCCCTAGAGGCCTTACTAGCAATATGATTGACATGACCCTCGAAAATTAGCTTGCTATCATGTATGACACCCAAATCTCTTATTTTATTAACTCTGGTCAAACTGTGACCCTGGAGGAAATAATTGGATCCTATTACGTTGGTCTTACGTGTGAATGTCATACAGAAACACTTTGGAACATTAAGATCTAACTTATTTAAGACACAGTATTGTTCAAACCGCAGAAGATCTAGCTGCAGATCATCGACATCCTCAGAACAGCCAATTATTTTAAGAATCTTCATGTCGTCTGAGAAAAGAATGGATTTTGAATTCAAGAAACATTTACCGATGTCCATTATAAAAATTATGAATAACAGCGGACCCAGAATTGACCCCTGGGGCACACTAGAAGATATTTCAGCCCACCGCGACGCATATCCTCGCAAAACAAGAGCCTGGTTACGATTGGCAATGTTGGAGGCGAACCAACGAAATAAATTTACATGAATTCCCGCCGCATGAAGTTTTGATAGTAGCATGCAATGATCGATTCTATCAAAACACTTTGTATAGTCTGTGTATACCACGTCAACTTGCGCTCCCTTTTCCATTCCATCAAATCATTTCGTCAATTATGATACAAAATCCTGTTTTTATGATATACGGCAGTAATTTTTACAAGTTATTATTATATAGTACTGCATGATTGATAACCGCGTTGTCCGTTGAACAAACAAGGACTGTTACGCGATTGACGCTCTGTATGCGATTTTACCGCCCTATAGGTGCGGACACTTTTTAACGCGAACCCGACATCCATTTGTTGGTAGGTCAATGCTGTCACCCCAAAAAGGGAGTCATTAATTATCCTGCATGCAGTCCGCCTAGGCTAGCCTAGCCGTCCGCGGCGTAATGAAGCATTATGAATGTAGTCGCAACGTGCAAGCCATTCTGCAATCCTGCAATGCGTCCTGCGAGACTCCATACGTGGGCCTTATGCAGGATAGTATGTGAGTAGTCTCCTGCCTGCGCGGCGGTCTGTCATGCAGGTAGTGAATGGGCCGTTTAATAGACTTGTTGTCACTGTCAGTGTCAGTCTCAAAATATGTCAAGATAAGTCGAATAATCGCTGATTTGCTTTTGTGGATTTATTATTAGATATAAAATTTATTATATTTCTAAGTAGGAGTATGTATCTATGAGTATGCATGTAATATGTATAATTTGATTTAAAACATATGTATCGTATTAAAATATTATCGATTATTCTTATAGAATAATACGTACTTTACGAGAGTATTTATGGATATTTTTTCACTCTTAAACTTTAGAGTTTAACATTATACATTTGTTATAAACAAAATAAAATCGTTGATAAAGCCAGTAGGAAACGAAAATACCTATCAACAATCTCTCCTTGAACGACTTATGATAAACTGGCACTGTTTAAGCAATACCTATATGTTGAACATAATATACAAAAGTATACATCTATGTAACAATAACATAAAATAAACTAGCTATAAATGGACGAGGTATGGGAAGACTTATCCAATATTCCAGCAGATCCACCAGAGATGCGAGAATTATGTAAAGATTGCAAGTAAGTTCATACTGTATGTGAATATGGTTCGTAATACAATTTATAACTTGAGAATAACTCAATTTTTTTTAAAGTTATATTAAGTTTAAACTGTTGTAAATAAATTATGCAATTACTTGTTCTCAGGAGGCCAGCAGTCGTTTGTTGGTGTTCAGGCTTACCCCCTGAAAGGTTAAAACCACAAAGTACTATAATTCTGCTCCAACACCCTGCTGAAGAGAAGAGATGTCTACGCACTGCTCCCATGCTTCAGCTGGGTCTAGCAGATAACAAGTGCCTTATTTACAAAGGAAAGAAATTTCCTCAGCCTCGACACGAAGCATTGGAAAATATTCTAAATCAACCTAATACAGTGCTATTGTACCCTAGTAAAACTGCCATAGATATAAGAGCCTTAGAAAGCAACAATGAATCTTATAATATTGTACTTATAGATGGTACATGGCCACAAGCTAAAGCAATTTATGCATCAAGTCCTATTTTACACAAGATAAAGCAAGTGAAGTTAATTACCAGTAGTACAAGTAGTTACATCATAAGGACACAACCTACTGAAGGATGTTTAAGCACTTTAGAAACTGCTGCAGAGGCTTTGTCACAACTAGAGAATGATCCAAAATATAGAGAGCAACTTGTACAACCATTGCATGTATTGTGCCAGTACCAGTTGGATAACGGTGCAGTCACTCATCAGTCTAAAGAATTTTTAATAAAAACTAAAACATATCCCAAATTGATTGGAAAAAGACTTTCAAAGTTGTTGCAGTCTACAAATGATTGTATTCTCAAAGAAACAATGAATAAACATTGATCTATTACAACTTACCTTTTCTCATTGTTCCTTTTTTTGAAATATTATTTTATTACCCAAGATTTACAATTTATAGCCAATGTCGCCATATCAGTGTCATTGGCATGCCAACAACGGTGCGATGGCAAAACATGCGTCGGCTAAATTTGAAAACCCCGTAACTCTGTTTCTGGACAAGATCCCTTTTTAACTCTTCAAGTGCAATATCAGGCAATTAAAGCTTAAAATATAATTTATACATCATTTAGTTATAACATAAAGATGTAACCATAGATTGTCAATTATTTCTAGTAATTGTTTTTTGTGCCTACTCAACATTTCACAAGAAGATAACGAGGTAGGAATTTAGCCGAATTTGGTACATATCACGTAAGCATTGTTTCATGCCAATCACCATGTAAAAAACTAGGGCTGTCGTCTATTTTTAATAACAACCACCACCCTCTATTGAGCTGCATTTCCCGTGCCAGTGGCACTGGCCAGCTGGATATGGTCTAAAGCCAACACACAATACAACACAAATGTTTGGAGGCTGATGTTGCTCGCTTCCGTAGGTTTACCCTCGAGACCCTACAAGTGACCCCTGGGTGGTGCTAAGGAGCAACAACTACTGGTGGTAGGCTTCGGCCGTGGCTAGTCACCCGACGTAGTCCCGACGTAGTCGATTCGCCAAATGGTTGTCACCGTGTTACGACTCGTGTTCGGGAGTTGCCATTAGGAGGTAGGTTCTGAACAGCTGCATTGCGTCTGACGACGAATTGTAGCTGCTTGTACTGCCACACTGAGTACTCGGTTCTAGAGGCTAGCGGGATCCGAAGCACGGTGCACCGCTGGCCAACCGAGGGAAGTTGAGGGCCCAAGTAGCGGGAAAGCCACCCGTGAAAGGCTGCCCCGCCAACCAACGAAAAATCCCTGAATGCGCCACCTTGCCGGTTGGCGACCGGAGGGGAGGGCCAGGTGGCCATCTCCGGGGAGGTTCGGACGTCCCCGCGGTCTCCAAACCGATTGTACCCTCGTGTGGCAGTGTGAGCTTTGCTGCTTGGTTGAACACGACGCAGTGCCTCGTGCAACTGCCTTCCTCCTGCCTATTCACTTCCCTAAAACAATAAAATGAAAAACAGAAACGGTAATTTTACACAGTGGTAGCTCGTCCTACCACTAAAAGTGCACCTCACCAATATTCGACGTCTGCACTCAAATCTCGATTTGGTCCACCATCATCTGGAAACCGATAAACCGCAGCTGCTGTTCCTCACCGAGACGCGGATCAGATGTCCGACTGACACGACGTACCTCAGCTACCCCGGGTATACTCTAGAGCACAGTTTTCTACCTCGTGCCGGAGTCTATGTGTACGTTCGTGGTGACATCTGTGTCAAGCGTCTCAAGAACCTTGAGGCACCGAGTTTTTCTGTTTTGTGGCTTCTGGTAGATACAGGAGTTACACAAATAGTGTATTGCTGTGTTTACCGATCGCACAGTCAGGAGGCAACTAAGCTGTTCCAATATCTGAGTGAGACGTCTGATGAGATTCAGCATAGGTACCCAGCGACGGAACTAGTCATTCTGGGGGGCTTTAATGCACACCATCAAGAATGTTTGTTCCCATACCAGAAGACCGAACATGCTTGGAGTGAGACGCGTAAACCTGCGTTAACGCTAAGCCTCTTCCAGCTTTTCAGTGGTGCCAATAGGATACCAGATGTTGAATCTCATACGGCTAATTGCTTGGACCTTCCGCTGACAACTGATCCGGACCGATACTCTGTGGTTGTGTATGCCCCATTTGGTACTTCCGACCATTGTCTGGTGAAAACTGTATCCGTATACTCCCCACACGATCAGGGTCTTAGTGGTATAAGACGGGTGTGGCGATACAGGTTAGTCGATTGGGATGAAATGCGCCATTTCTTTGCGTCATATCCTTGGCAGGTTTGCTTTTCTTCAGGAGACTCGTCGAGCTCTGCTGATGCTGTAGTCGAGGTCTTTCGTTTGGGTATGGAGTATTACAGACCATACTCCGATGTACCCAATGGACCCCAAGCTCATCCATGGTTTAACGCTCACTGCAGTCGTGCTAAAGCACAAAAACAGTCCGCGTATCAAGCGTGGGCAGATGCTCGACTGCGCAATGCTTTTAATATAGCCGCCAAGAAGTGCAAAAGCGTGTTACGTAAGGCCAAGTTCGACCACGTGCGCCGCATAGGGGCCAAGCTTGCCTCTTATCCAGCAGGTAGCAAATCCTTTTGGTTCCTGGCCAAAGCGGTCCAAAGTAACTTTTGTCACCCATCTCTGCCAGCTCTGCTGAGGCCGGATGGCACGCTGGCCCGTACTGCAGAAGAGAAGGCGAATCTCTTTGTCTCACTGTTTGCAGAGAGTACGCGTCTGGATGCCGCAGGGAACGTACCACCTACCTTAGGCTGGCTGCGCTATGGCGCCAGTTCGCATACGCCAAAAAGAGGTACTTAGAACTCTGCGGAATCTTGACGTGAATAAAGCTAGCGGACCAGATGGAATTCCAGCGGTAGTCCTATGTAACTGTGCGCCTGAGTTGTCTCTTGTTCTCACACGCCTGTATCGCCTCTCACTCGAGACTGGTGTAGTTCCCAGATCGTGGAAGCTTGCAAACGTGCTACCTGTGCCCAAAAAGGGAAGCAGAGCTGACCCTGTCAACTATTGACCTATCTCAGTCACTTCCATACTCTGCAAGACTATGGAACGTGTACTCAACAACCGTAATACCTTGAAGACAATAATGACCTCCTCAGTGATCGCCAGTATGGATCTACCGGGGATCTTCTTGTGTATGGGTGTCACATATGGAGCGAGGCTATAGAAAAGCAAGGCGAAGCACTTGCAGTGTCTTTGGACATTTCTAAAACCTTTGACAGGGTCTGGCACGCAAGCCTTTTAAGCAAGCTTTCTTGTTATGGGCTTCCCACTGACCTTTGCATTTGGATCTCGGATTTCTTTAGTGAACGTTCCATTCGAGTGGCCTTAGAATGCTACTCTTCCGAACATATGGCGATAGATCAGGGTTCCGTACTGTCTGCAACTCTCTTTCTACTGCATATCAATGATATGTTAATTCCAGGTAACTTTGTGTATGCTGATGACAGCACAGTTGTAGTTAAGTACTTGACCAATGCGAAGGTCAGTGGAGAGGAAATCCAGTCTTGTCGAGAATCCATGGTTAGCCGTTTAGATTTGACGCTCAAGGCAGTCTCTGATTGGGGCAATGCCAATCTTGTCAAATTTAACGCTACCAAAACGCAGGCGTGTCTATTCTCCACTAAACGGAGTCTCTTTGAGCTGACCCCGACTTTTCGTGATATATCCATACCGATAGCCGACCGTCTCCAGCTACTTGGAATGGACCTGTCGTCCATTCTGAACTTCGGCAGATACATTGAATCCATGGCCAAAAATGCAGCCAGGAAGCTTGGCATCCTTTCCAGGGTGAGGCGTTACTTCACACAGGGACAGTTGCTTCAGCTATATCAAGTACAAGTCCGGTCGTTTATGGAGTACTGTTGCCACCTTTGGGATGGCTCTGCTACATACCAACTGGTCGCCTTGGATTCAATTGACAAACGTGTCAAGAGGTTTATAGGTGAATATTTTAAGCACATTCACCTTATCCAAAGTTATAAAAAAAAAATTCAAATTAAAAAGTAATGTAAGACAGTAAACTTCCCATATAATGGTGCACCGCCATCTAGCGGCTACTTTACACACTATACCACGACTTTTCGCTTCTTAGTCATTGACTTACAATTATATGGACGTCGGGTCCGCGCTAAAAAGTGTCCGCACTTGTAAGGCGCTAAAATCGTATACAGAGCGCGACACTCCGCTTTAGTCTTCATTTGTTCTACGGACAGCGCGATACTGCGATGACAAATTCAATTTAAATTTCGAATAGGTTGACTTGGGACATTTTTTTCGTGGTTTTTGTATTAGACCCGTCGTCCATTTATTTGTAAGTCAATGTTCTTAGTACATTTTTTCTGATGGTAAGGAGTGTTACAGTTAGTAGTAAAAAAAACTATATAGCATTGTATAAAAACTTAACTTGAAACCTTGTGAGACTTTTGTGAACCCGATGTTTATCTGAATATAAATAAAGTAAAATAAAAGTGTGTAGTAAATTTAATCCAAAAAGATTCCTTTAAGATTTTGTGTGTACTTTTCAGTATACTCAAAATATGTCACTGGAAGATACTTTATCAGATTTAGAATGCAATAATTTTCAATTAAGCCATTGCTTAACTGTAAATTGTACTTTGAACCAAAAATGGTTAATAATTATCAAAAACCTGTGAAACAAATTCACACCCAACAGAGGGCGCTGATAGTCAAGTGCGAAGATGGGTGTCTAATCTACGGTACAATAGAGGTTATTTTTCTTTTCTGTTGATCTGTCAAACAAATCGGAAACATGGCTGAGGTTTGTGAATTATTTTACGTGATTTATCCATGAATATCGTTTGAATCGCAAATAAAATCGTGCATTGAAATGTAGTGTGTGATTATAATGTTTGTAAGAAGTCTCATCGCAGTACTATTTACGGACAGTGACCAACAATGTTTACGTTTTGCAGGTCGAGGAAACTCTGAAGAAGAAACGTACCTTCAGGAAGTTTACCTTCCGAGGAGTTGATCTTGATCAGCTTCTTGATATGCCCAAGTAAGTAAGCAGTCCAGCCCGATAGTATTTTCGATGGCTACTATACGACGAAGTTTGTCAAATTCATGAGGTTTTGACTTGTGATAATTTTAGGTGTTACTTATTATTTTGCCTTAGGATTGAGAAATAGCGCATCTTGTTCAAAACTATTACTTTCATGGAGAAACTTGAGGATTTTCATAACAGTTTAGTTAAGATGAAACCTTAACCTCTCATTTAATTGTTCCTTATTCAGTGAGCAACTAATGGAGTTGATGCATGCTCGCGCGAGGCGGCGATTTGCTCGTGGTCTGAAACGCAAGCCCATGGCATTGGTAAAGAAGCTGCGCCGCGCGAAGAAGGAGGCTCCTCCAAATGAGAAGCCAGAGATTGTAAAAACCCATCTGCGCAACATGATCATTGTCCCAGAGATGGTTGGCTCTATTGTCGGCATTTATAACGGCAAGACCTTCAACCAGGTATGCTTTTTTTTATAATGTTGGTATCTATTTTGTTTACACTGTCTATTAAATTTAACAAGCATCATATCTTTTTTATTATCCTGTACCATAGCAATACAAAGGTTTTTCTCACTGCAAGTCTAAAGTCTACACACATATATAACTTATTATGACCTATGTATACATGAGTCAAAATTTGTTTTTTAACACTGAAATGGTGCTACTACGTCTGTTCCAATCCATTTTCAACAAAAATAAAGTAAACTGTTTGATTAAAATTCTAAAGCAAAATCACTCAATAAATCGAATAAGTAACACTTTTGTCTATATTTTGAAGATTTTGACTTGATATCTATCACTTTTTCCTACAATATTTATTTGATGTATTTAAAAAATGGTAGTCCAAAAGTGAGGTTATTTTTCATCTATACATCTATGACTTGTCTACGGTTGCATAGTGCTGTACAAAAAAAAACATTCGGTTCATTCAATTCAAGTTTTTTTAATCAATTTTAGTAAATTGAATATTTCAATCGCAATCAAATGAGTATTGAAGTGTAAGGATTTGAAGGAGGACTTAAAATTATGATTTCGGAAATGTTAAATACTTATATAGGTTATGTAGGGAAAACTGCTAGTATGACTCAATTGAACAAATAGATTCATTCAATTAATTAATCAATTTGTAGTTGGCATTACAATTAATTGCAATGCTCCGAATGCACTCTTAGGGTCGTATTCTAGAACTCTACTCAATGCTCAAGTCAGGATTTGAGCAGACTTGAGTATGATTTCAAGCACTGGAAATACGACCCTAATGGCAAGGACTTGAGTATGATTTTCAGTGCTCACTGCAATACTCAAGTCTTGACTTGAGTATTGAGTAGAGATCTGGAACACGACCCTTAAATATTAAGATAATGTAAATATACCAGGTCTAATTTACTTTCTTAAACACCTCCTATCCTTGAATGTTCCTTTAACGCAATTATCATATCTAGATATCTAGTGGGCAACTCTTAAGCATTCTGAAAACATATGTTTGCAAAATATTAGTAGTTCTTTTTGTGAATCAATTAATTGTTAATTTGAACAGAACGTGAATGATTGATACTTTTAATATGTTCAATAATACTATACATAACAAACGGTGATTTGATGATGAAATGAGTCAATGTAATAAGTACACAGAGATCGGCAATATCTTTATTTCAAGCTTTAGGAAGAAGAGAAGAAGAAGAATTTTAACAGTATTTATTTTATTTACTCAAAAACAAAGAGTCCTAAAATTCGTTTGTTAAAGAATTTTAGAACTCTTTGTTTGGTAAATCATTTCAGTACAAATTCATCAAAATGATAAGAAGATACTTTTTGTCATATACTAATTTTAATTTTCAGGTTGAAATCAAGCCCGAGATGATTGGTCACTATCTAGGAGAGTTCTCGGTCACATACAAGCCTGTCAAACACGGTAGGCCTGGTATTGGTGCCACCCATAGTTCCAGGTTCATCCCGCTCAAGTAGAGTGGACCATAGGCTAAGTGTTAAAAATGCACACTTGTTTACAATAAAGTAATAGTGTGAAAAATTTAACAGTTTTATTTCTTTTCTCCCTAGTTAGGCTGACAATTTGTCGGCCTAACTAGATTGAATGTAGGTTATATTGTAATTTCATAGATTTGTTTCAGGTGGTGGCACTATGGCAAAAAAAGCTGGTAAAACCTAAATGAGCGGTCGCTCTAGTTTGGCATAGATTCAGGTTTCCGGTCCTGTCAGATCGAAGGATTTTTTCTTTGTGTTTGATTTTTGTATTAACGGTAATAAATTAGGGGAGTAATTTCACAAAAATAAATTAATATGATAGTAGTAAAACGTCGTAATATTAATTATACAATCAACATTATAATATAGTGTCGATTAGATTACATATAGAATTTTTTTCACCTTGTACGTGTTTGCACCTGCCGAGCGCCGTTTAATACGGACGGCACGGTACACATTCGCATCATGTCGTGATGCACTTGCGAACGCGCCTTTTAATATTTTGTGAATGTTGCGCTCGTGTCTTGAAGTGAGTAAATGAATATGTTTGGGAACCTATGGTTTAGAGCATAATAAACTTAACGCGATCGTGTGACGTACGTTAAGTATTTGACACTTGCTATGTTTTGAATTGGTTAAAGTGACTTAAGATTTTTGGCTGGTCACGAACCAGACTGCTATGTGCCATGGACACACCGACAACCACATTACACCCAAAATCTCGAGATAAATGTAGGCCATACAAATATTTCACCCAGCCTGAGAATTGAATCTGGGACCTCTGCGTGGTAACCGTTTGGCCACAGAGATAGAGCGTACGACATTCAGCTGCAGTTGATTGTAAATTTTTTTGATATCAAATTTGTCAGGATCCGTTAAGGTACACCCGCTATTCTGACTCTCACTTGTTTTTCCGGACGTTGTGAAAGAGTTCGTCCAAGGAAGTTTAGACGAACCTTACATTTCTGCCGCCAAGTAGTAATGTGAACCTTACTGCGTTTTCGTTTGGAAGTAAGGGTGCTGGTGAAATTACAGGGACAGTGGTAGCGCCCCTAAGATCTTTGTGATTTAAAGCTCTGAGTGCCACTGCAACTGTTATGGATAGGGGTGTCGCGTACCACCAGACGCACGGTTTGTTCGTCCCGTCCATTGACCTACCAAGTCCCGTCACTAATTATTAAAAAAGTGCTACCTAGGGGACTAAAGTTGATCTGGAACTACACACATCAAAAGTGTCTAGGGATCAAGTACGTTTAAGAG